AATGGTAGACTCATAGACAAGTTATAAAATGTAAAAGTTTTTTTGCCTATGGTCTGGGTTTTTTTATATTCTTTGATGATCAAACAGGTTGTACATTTAAGAAAGGGTAAAGAGGACCTCATATTCATGCCAGAGCAAATGCATATATTAAATTAGAACAAACTCGAAGATTGGTTGGATTCTCTTCGAGCGGTTTAATTATCTCACATGATTATCTCTAATTTGCAATTACGGGGGGGGTAGAAGCGTCTGCGTTTATCTATTGTCATTGTGTCAAACACTCGACAAACTGTCAATATGGCGGTCGCAAGCTCCAATGCTCCCTTCATACTACGCCTTGTTTCCTGCTCTGTAGCAGCTGCAAATAAAGCTGGCAATATAATCCGCAATGTCCTACAGAATGGCGACCTTGCAGTTGTAGATAAGGTGGGAGAGCTGTGTTAATTGTTCGTTTTTGTAGAGTTTATGTATGAGATTATTTATACTGACAAAACTGGCTAAATATGAAAGTAGACTAGTAGTAGTTAGTAGCTTTCATAATTCCTGATGATGACTCAACAGTAGTCGAAACGTTGAATTAAAAATAAGAATTTCTTCGGAGCTTCCATTGTTTTGTATTGTAGTAGTAGTGAAACTGCAATTTCTCTACATATAGAGAAATTGCAGTTTCAGTACTAATTCTCAACTGACAATATATCTTCAATGATAGCTAGACAAAGGCATGTTTTCATTCCTATAACTGCTGTTTTTGGCAGGGATTGGGCACAGGAAAATTTGATCCACAAACTATTGCAGACAGAGCAGCACAAAAATGCATCATCACATCTTTGCAGAAGAAATTTCCAGCAATTAAGATTGTGGGCGAGGAGGTATACTTGTTTAAAAATGTTAAAATTTAATATAGAACAAGTCCACGATCGGTGGGCGTTTCCTATTTGTCGACGGCCCCTAAGGATCTATTGTATGTATAATTTCCAGGAAGATTGTTCCGAAATCATTGAAGTTGCTGAGACAGAGGATGACTCGAGTGTTTTACAACAACAGTGTCCAGCACAACTGCAGAATTGTAAAGAAGACGAGGTTGGTTGCTGTTCATCAATTTGGAAATTAATTGATGAAGAGATCAATGACATGCATTAGAAGCAAATTTAGAATGTTTTACATTGTTCTGTTTTTTATTTCAGGTTGTTGTTTGGGTTGACCCACTGGATGGTACCAAAGAATTCACAGATGGTAGATATTGTAGCAGTTTCAATAATAACCTGGAAGTACACTAAACCAAACAATCACAGATGATGAATATTGCTTACATAACACAATCAATTGTTGGAATGCCCCTCCCGATAAAATGTCAGTACCTGACCTGCCCCCTCCTTCAGAGAAAGTCAATATCAACAAAGGAATGTTCATTATTAATTGGTGTATGTCTTTCAAGTAAAGACTATATTCAGTACATATTCTCTAAGTTAAAACTATCAATATTTCTTTCATTTCTAGGCCTAATAGAACATGTTACAGTTCTCATAGGCATATCACTAGATGGCAAGCCCATTGCAGGCATCATACACCAGCCGTTTTACAAAGCACGTGAAAATCCAAACATTACTGGTCGAACAATATGGGGAGTGCAAGGTATTGGTTCATTTGGCTATGAAAAGAGCACACATGATGGTCTGATTATTATCACTACTAGATCACACAGCAGTAAAGTAAATCTTGAAGCAATTCAAGCTATGAATCCAACAAAGATTGCAAGAGCTGGCGGCTCTGGGTATAAGGCATTATCTGTGCTCCTTGGTGAAACAGATGCATATGTTTATGCAAGCAAAGGAACAAAGCGTTGGGATACTTGTGCGCCAGATGCAATCCTACGTGCAGCAGGCGGGAACATAACCGACGTCCTAGGAAGACCAATTCAGTACAAGTATAATACCGATTACATGAACTACACTGGTTTGGTTGCAACATTGGAAAATCATGAGACTTTGTTGAGCAAAATACCAGACAATGTCAAAGACAGCATTTCTAAGAATTTGTAGTCAGTTTAGTACATTGTATTACAAAATTGGTGAATTAGTAGATTTGATTTATTTATTGAATGATGAATAATGTAACAGATATAACAATCGTTTTTGAGTTCATCCAGATATTTTTCACATTAACAATTATTTGCCGAAGGCATCACTGAGGCAAATAATTGTTTTAGTATTTTTACACAAGTCTTTTGTGTTTTTTTGGGACAGAGTTTATTTTAATTTCGCTTATTTCTTTATCAGTAACTTCCACAAAACAGCTAGTCACCATTTTGCAAATTTTGGTTTTGTTATATTCACCTGTAGGTCAATATAACAGCTTAATATGTGAGATTTGACCAATCAACTTGTAGGATTTGTTATATTCACTTGTGCAAAAATACTAAAACAATGTATTTGCAATTAATCTACTGTAACAAAAAATGTACATCACACTGTCGGTTTCTGTGACCCGAGAAAAGTCAAATGCATTGTACATCAAAGTCACATTGTATGGAATATTACAGCTTAAGAATATAATGAAGAAAACATACAAATTGTACTTTGGTTGAGATAACAAGGCATACCCAGCATTGGGAACAAAGCTGAAAAATCATAGCAAACAAGGGAACATATGCGGTGAAATCTTTTTTAGTGTTATTAATTAAAAATATTTATACACGGTGTTACCAAAGGAAAACTTTTCAAAACAAGGGAACACTCCCCCCCCCCTAGTGTAGACCTCATAACTGTTTCCAAAATATCAAAAATTTATTCCATTATTACTTAATTTTTCTACTTTATAATACAAATTCTTACAACAATACACAAAGTTTAATTATTTGATATGTTACATGTTGGTGACATAACTTGAATGTTCTGACAAGTTGCTTTTTTTACAGAAACATTTTCCACATATAATTACATGCTACACAAGTGGTTTTGTAACATGACAAATATATATTGACTAGCCCAGATAGTATTGTTAAGGAGTGATATATTAATATTTACAAAAAAATATGCAATTTACATTGACAATCAAAATATCAATTTGAATGTCAATTATGAAAATTGAATATGAAAATTGAAGATCAATTTATATTTACAAAGTAAGCAAGACTATATATTATTAGGAATATTTGCCCCTCCTAAAAAGTATGTTTATAGTACATACTGCTGCAGCGTGCACATTGTTTATCGAATGGGTCTACGATTATGTATGGTGGGATCTTACATGACGATGGCGAAAATTATAACCAGAATCATCCAATTTGCTATCTATTGATGAATTGTGCCTCGATCGAAGCTTGTAATCTCTTTTTGGTGTTTTTGCTGGAGTCCCTGTTTTCCTTGGTGTGGTGGAACTGAAAGGGAATTGTGAATTTCAAATTATGTATTCCAGAAGTTTCTAGCTGTGGGATTAATCATTAGATAATTATATACCTTTGGTTTTTCCGAGCATCTGAAGGACGTTTTCCTCTCCGAGGTGAATTTTTATAGGAACATGTTCTAAACAAATAACACGACAGTTTTTCACAATTTTTCTTTCTAGGCCATGCCATTTCACAACACAAGACGCATTCCGCCATTTTTAACTCCAAACCATTTTTGAGCTTTCTTACATATATATATAAATTATTTGGGACTTTGCTGCCTGCACTAATGCTCACAGAAACCCATCGATGGTCTTGCAGAGGGCTGTTGGTCGACTGAAATTGATGCTGTGTGTGTCGGGGCATTGTAAAAATGTAACTAGTAACATAGCAAATAAAAATGAAGCCTTTCGAACACATTGTTCACAGTTGCATAGTAACTGTGAAATAATGCCTTGGTCTTGAAACCTTGCTCTAGTGAATCAAGATGTAAGGCTCATTACAGTAATGCACGAGAGCGAGGCTTCTGGTCCAACTAGTGATTAATTTGTGACGTAATTATCAAAAGGGTGTATTACAGAAAATTCAGGATTTTGAAGTTGAATAACACACTTGACATAAGCCATCTGTTGACTGTTGTAGCTCGAGTGTTTTTGTAATATTAAACCTAGCATGAAAATATGCATTGTTGAATGTTGTGGAAATTTTTTAAAGGAAAATACTTAATTTTGCCGTACTATCAAGAAAATCTATCAAGGAACAAAAAATCTAAGATTTCCTAGGACTCTCCGGGCTTGCTGGCTATATTAAGATTTGCAATATTTTTAGCTTTCTATCCTAAATGACCTGCCTCGTGTTTCAAACAGGATACTCACAAGTCATGTTCGGATTTTTCCCAAGACCAAAATTCCTGCGTACAACCTTTATTCTGACAAGCCGTGACACCAAGCAACTTCTGCAGCGTTATATTATCTTCAGGAATAGTAGGCTTTCGTTCAGGAAAGGAATCTTCTTGTTGACAGGAAGGGCAACGCTGAAACTGCTGGCGAAGGACACCGCTCGACCCATAAGCACATTTCGTGCAAATTCTATGTTGACACTGGCCATAGACCATTTGAAAACGCGCACAGAGGCAAACAACACAGTTAAATCTTCGCTCAATGCTTATTTGCTTGGCTAGGCTGCCCGGAGAAACGTCCATGATTAACAAATTAACTTTTTCTTTATCAAAGACAGAATTTAAAATACAAATGACTGCTTCTGCTCGAAGACTTTAAAAGTGTTGATAACTAAGCCCGGGAAAAGTTTGTTATGGTAGCAGAAATCTGATTGGCTAGAACAATATTTCCTGTCTTCCTATTGGCTAATACTCGATAGCAGGAAAAATACGGATATCAGTCGCTATAATAAAAAATTCCAGAAAAAAAATTCAGGGAGCGGATATAGGAAATCCGCAGAAACGGACAATGCGGAAAACACAGAACGGAGTAAACCTGGTATGGGATTTCTATATTTTTAATTTAATTTAATTAATTAACCAAATGTATTTTCGCATGCATTAAAATTACATTTTCGAACGAAGAATTTATATTCAATGATAATATAATACAGTATGGTCAGGTAATTTTTCCACAGATATGCTTTCTATATGTAATGTTGAATGTTACACATTGTCAAACAAAAACTCGTATTTTCATTTGACAAGAAACTAAAATTCCCCCAAAAATTTGAAATAACACCCTAACACCATCCCTCCCGCGTAACACGGCAATTTCCAAAAGCCATGCATTATTCACTTTTTGCATGGACTTCGCCATTTTCAGAAGACTCATTGGAGGTCCCAATCGCTTGAGTTTCATCAGTTTTGACGAGAACTCCATTGCTGTCGAATTGTTGTAGATCGTCACCACTCACTCCAAATTCATTGACACGTTTGTAGTCGATAGGATAGATCCATTTTTGATAAAGATATATGAAGAATATCACGTCTGTTTAAAAAAACAGATATTGTTTTGAGACTGGGTGTTTGTAACACAGGACACCCTTTTTGGCGTTTTGCGGAAAATCGCTACTGCGCGCTCAATATCAGTCCGATTTTCATCAAATTTTCACCAAATGTTCTCCAGTGCATGCAAAATATGGTAAAGTTGTAAAATTAACAAACAATAAAATAATGTAAGAATTATTCAGGAAAATCTTAAATCGCGGTACCTTTACGCTTTTGAGTTGGGCTCCTGCTGGTTTTAAGTTATATTTATGAAAATATCATTTTTATACAGTAAAATAGTTGTTCTAAAAACCTGTGTTCGGAAATTTATGTTTATTTCGTCATTCCGCTGATATGGCGATTTCTTTGACGACTGCAATATATTTCTGAATTCTTTGAGTGAATTGCTCTTTATTTTTAAAATATCCAAAATTAAAAAAAGCCGCAAACAATTTTGAAACTGACGTATTTAGCTATGTCCTGTGAAAATTTGAGAAAAATTGGTTAAAACCCGCAGGAGCACAACTCGTTTGAAAATCAGTAATTACCGTAAAATTCTTCGGGAGAAAATTGAATTTGAATATTACATTTTCAATGTTTTTGTTATTGCAAGCGAAATGTATTTTATTAAATAACTCTGCGAGTTTTCAACATTTTTCGTTCAAACTTGGTCAGATAGTAGAACTAGTCTAATGCTTTCATGGAAACCAATAAAAAAATATTAGGCAAAATTAACACTCAAAAGGTGTTCTGTAACCTTAAAACACAGGACTTGGTGCGTGAGATTTTCACTTCTGTGGCCTGTAGTACAGAATGTCCGATTACAATAGGGAGTTTAAGCAAGCGACATTTTTGTCAACACGGACGTCAGATGCCGGGGGGGGGGGGCTGGATTAACAAACACAGCGGTTTTTCTCCTTCAGTACTATCACTGGTCAAGAAAGTTTCCAGGCAGTTCGATGAAGCTATCTTAGTTTAGTTAAGGGGTGTCCCTTACCAATCTCGTAGCCAGAGCAATGCCTGTGTGCGGGCTAGGATGGCATTGGCTCTGGGGAAATTGAATTTTTCCTGTGCTGTGATTGGTTTAACGTTTATCGATCGTACATGCCGACAAAGAACCGGGACCCCTAAATTTAGGGGTTCCGGTTGTCAATTTCCCCAGCTTTATTTTAGCTTTGAGGTATAATCTAATACAACTTTGTTCTATGTAATCTATCTACAATAAACCGATACCTCACTGCATAAAGTTCTCAACTCACCGTCTCGTAAACAGCCCAGACGATACAAAGTCGGCATTTTTATAATGAAAGCGAAGAGATCATCAATGAATGTGTTGAGTGCTTTATAAGTGAGCATTCTCCAGGGTAAGTGAGCAACAGACTTCATTTTGTAGTTGATAAATAACTGAGGAGTCATCATTATAAAACCTAAACGAAATATACAAAGTTATTAAAACTATGAAAGCTATTGATGCTTCCCAAAATGTTCCCTTGTTTGGATCAGGCCCACGGTAAAAATATTGTAAGGAAAGCCAAATGATCTGTCCCGAGAAAGCAACATTTTTGCCAACGATTCAAAAGCATTTGGTTTCTATTTGAAAGTTCATCCTATGGGGCTATTTACATGTGGCGGGCTGATTCGTTTTCGTTAAGTGTTTTGTTTCTCATACACTTAAATCTTAAATAATTTATTATCTAATTTAGCAGTTTACTCAGCAACGATTTGATCTGCGGGCAACGATGCTACCCCACTAGTTTTCCTACAAAGAGAAATATTTTTCCCAATTGGCCCCCAGGCGGCTAGACGTATTTCTAGTATTGTCTAACTGGTTTTGCTCTATCCAGTCAACATTCAGATCAGCGTATTCCAGTAATTAGTTTCCACAAC